AGAGGGAGGACCAGGCCATCTTAGCTGTTTTCCCCTTTGACTACATCATATGAAAATAGGACTCTTTGCCCTTCCTACCCACTGGGGCAGGCTCTTGATTAAATTGTTGGCTACTCAAGTTTATATCCAGATGAGCACTGGGGATATTTTCTCATCTTACCTTCTTCTGATCATGATGTGACTTACTCATCTGGAACCACAGGTTAGCCTTCCGCAACCTGGTGTCCTGCAGATGTCCTGTACTGCAACTCCTAGTAATGCACCGTCTTGCAGGCTAAGAAGTCTAGAATCTAAGGGCTAATGTCTTTAGGGAGCTGTCAGAGAACTTTGCAAGCAATCCAATCGGTTTCATAAAACTGCATGAATGTGTAACATGTTTTGCTTCAACGTGAAAAGAGAAACATGATAGGCCTGTTCCTGGCTAATGGAAGCTATAGGAAAGATGGCCAAGAACTATTTTCCACGGCCACAGAAACTAGGACCAGAAATAATGGGAAGGTTCTCAGATTTGTTTAAATATAAGGAAAAACTTCCCAACAGTAAGATCTGTCCAAAAGTGGAACTGTCCACCTATGGAGGTGATAGGTTCCCCATCTCTGGAGGCTTTTAAGAAGAGTTGAACAGCCACCTCTCATGGATGGTTTAACTGATTTTTCTGCACATTGTAGAGGGTTGGACTAGATGATCCTTGGGGTGACTTCCAACTCTACAATTCTATGATAAACATCATTTTCTAAAATCAAAGGATCTGAAAGAAGAAAGAAAGAAAGAAAGAAAGAAAGAAAGAAAGAAAGAAAGAAAGAAAGAAAACAGGGAATGGCTACCTCCCACTGTTCCTTCTCCTTATTACACCCAGAGAAACCAAATACATGGCAGTGAGCCCAGAAGCGTCATTGCAAATATTCATTTTCATTGCATAGAACCCAAATGCAGAGTCACCTCTGACCTTTTAAAAGGGTACACGAATCATCAGGGATTGCAATGCAAATACTGCATGGCATGTTCCAGATAATGTTGAACCAGGGTGCAATATTCAGCCTTTCTTGCGCCCTTTCACTCTTTCCTGGCAACTGTGTCTATCCACTGAAGGCCATGGATGGATGTGCTCTCTTGCCATCCAGCTCCAGCTGCCTCCTTCCTTCTGCCGTGGGGGTTTGGAAACTGATGTTGCTGAAGGCCCAACTACCATGGCCAACAGTGATGAATGCGCAGAAGGGCAGCTTTCCCACCCACCCCTACACTGACCTTCTCAGTCTTCTGATGCCACCATGCATTTCTTCCAGGGAGGCTGGCAGACCTTCCCATCCTCGGCCACCCTCTTTGTGGGGCTTTTCTCCCTCCTGGATGTCCTGGGCCCTTGCACGGTGCCAGGGGCAAATTTCCCATGCTTGTGGAGTATGTTGAAGAGGACGCCAAATTCCTCTGGCAGGTTCTTCACACGCAACAAGGGTTGGTTTCCAATCAGTCATCAGCTCCTGTCCTTCCCTGAAGCTTCACCCATCAGGATGCAACAATGATCTCTATTTATCGTACTTCTGGAATATCCTTTCCAAAAAGACAGCCGTAACTGTTTGACATATGTGGAGGAGTAGCTGGACCATCTGTAGGAATACAGCAGAGCATCTTTTTAGCAGGTTGACGCGATTTGAGCTCCCGCTTGAAAGCTGCCCAGCAGAGAGCTTACAGATTATTGCGAAGGCTCCGCGCAAGCCAGGAGAATCCCTTGTTCAGGTGTCTGAAGCCCAAATGTCTGGCGGTGCATCACAGGGATGGGAGCGTCCACCTTGAGGAGGCAGAGATGGTGAGCTTGATATTCAAACAGCTGGGGAGCGCTTCAGTCAAAAGAAGAACGGGAGGCCTCTCTTCAAGCAGGACGGCGACCCCCTCCCAGGCAAAACCTCCTGTGGGGTTTTCATTAAGGAAGCAAAATCAGCCAAGTCCTTGGCAGACATTCCAGAGCATGCAGGAGCCTTGCATCTGTCAAAGTTTGGCAAGTAGTCTTTTAAATTAGTCTAAAGGGCCTGGCTGGCCAGGAGACTGACTGACTAATTGGTACAACACTCAGGGAAGCCCCCGTGGTTCACCTCCGGCCTCAGAGCTGGGAGATCCCTCCTTGCCTCATGGCCGCAAGAGGTTTCCGGGAGGTTCAGCATGGCAAGGACTAGAAACATGATGGTGCAAGGCTGCCTTGAGGGGCACCCACTTCCCGGCTGTGAGAGGTTTCCGGGGTGCCAACCCTCCCTGCCTCTCGGTCCGTTTCTCTGTGGTAACAGACTTATTTATCTGTTTGTTTGTTTATCAAATTTGTCACCACGCATCTCGTTAAAAAGCAACTCTGGGCGGTTTACAGAGGAGCTAAAATCAATTAAAATACAGTATAAAAGCAGTCTTAAAAATAATAAATAAACTCCAAGAATGATGGGATTGGTGAATAACTCAGGAAGTAACGAGACTGTATTTATTTGCAACATGCAAGCTGAGAATAAAAGTGGAGGGGGAAGAGGACCAAGCAGATTGCAGGTACATATAATTAAATGCATGTGGATTAACTTTACGTTTTAATTCATTTAATTTAATTGCAACTGGATTAAGATTAAATCAAATGAAGTCACATTTAGTTTTCACCCTGGCTCCAGCCGCTTCCTGTGCATATATCTGGTTTGGAAAAAGTTGTGCATCCTTGGTCTGAAAGGCAAAAGAATTACTTTTAGCAGCAGCAGCAGCAGCAGCAGCAGCAGCAGCAGCACCTTTGTACCACTAAGTACCAGAGGGTCAAAAATATGGGCAGACCCCTGGGTTTCCTGGGGGGTTTTCACCCAAGTATTAACCAGATCTAATCCGGGTGAGCCCAGACGAGCCTTAAAATGCAGAAATACAGTAAAACTTTATTCCATTTTTGTATGCGGCCAGCAGGGTCATTTTGTTGTCCCAAATCGGGTCTTAGCTCGGTGTCGAAGCCAAAAGACATCCAAACACGAGGTGTAGAAATCAAAAATACTTTTATTATGGTACCAAAACAAAAGGACCCCGGCCTGTAAAGCGGCCAGAGCCCCGAACAGAATTTGGCAACAGGTTTTATACTTCCCCAACTCCCACCCCGATACAGACCATCTTACTCATCGGTTAAGCTGATAACAGTTCCCATCCCTTGGCTCCCTTTTAGCTACAGTATTTTCTGCCTCATTTGGTTAGAGCTCCTGAGCATACATAATCAGCTGCCCCACCTCGACCGTTCTCCCCCCATCTCTTACGCCCCTGCAAGCTATTTCTGCTGACTGGGCTCACAGCTAACCGTCACGTATCCTGTTCATTGCAGGCCACGGGCACTCGTGCGCGGTTCCAGCCGTGCCCCGCTAGCCACAAGCAATCACATCCTTGCCAGCTGCCTAAGCTTTCAGAACCGCCGTGTCTCTTCGTGATGGGTCCCACAGACACACAGCCCAATTTCTCCGGAATGGTCATGGCATGGTGTTCATTCTACATACGACCCCTCAATTTCAAAGCACCGTCTTACGTCTTTTAGTTCAGAAAGCTCACCTAGACGGGTTTGCACGTGGCAAGGATTGGAGATGATCACGGGTTTGTGCTCATCAGGAGTTTTTATGGCGTTTTTCGGTAAGGAGACACTCTATGGGAGGGAGCTAACATTGTGAAGAACGTGATGGAGATGCTTAATTTTCCATAAGCAAGGAAATAAAGGGGCTTCATCTTTGGCTTGGGGATAGGGCTACCCATGGTATATCTTTGGAGCCTGTGTTATTTTCCAGAGACATTAAAAACACAGCGTGCATTGGCTGCAAACGTGCTTCACTGCGTTGCCGCCCCGCAGCACGCGGGATATTGCACAGGTTGAGCCAGCGAAAAGGCGCGCCTGGAATCAGCTGGCGGCCTGTGGGCAGAGACCTGACCCAGTTTCTCCCGTTACTCTCTTTCTCTCGGGTGACACCATACCCCGTGTTCCCCAGGCAACGAAGGGCCCAGGCGGCATTCCTCGGAGGGCTAGCGTTCACCTCCATTCACTGGGTGAGCCTGGGCCGTTAACGAGGGTTCAAGCCACCGTGCGAACGCAGACTCTGGGTTAACTCAGCATCCAGGTTAACGGTGCTGTGTAATGCACAATGGGGCGGGGGGAGCAATTGCAATCATGGTGTGGCAACAGGGCGGTGTTTCTCCAGCTCAGCCACTTTAAGATGGGTGGACTTCAACTCCCAGAAGGCTGGCTAGGGAATTCTGGGAGTTGAAGTCCACCCATCTTAAAGTTGCCAAGGTTGTGAAGCACTGGACTAGAGCAGACAGAGGAGGGAGGGATGGGGTGGGGAGCCAGAAGGTCTCACATGGCCCCCATTCTCTGGTAGCCTTTGAGACATTGCTGCTCCTAACTCCATTCCCACGTAAAGCCTTCTAAATGGGTGGCCCTCCCCGCGTCTTGTGGCAACGGGTTCCAGAGGCCACTCGTGACTGCACTCACGTGGCAGAATTAACCCATGTTCTGCGTTCACACAACACACTGAACCTTCCCCTCCTTCGGTGGCTTGGGCAGGCAACGTGCTGAGCCACCCAAAAGAAACCCTAACTTTGCAGATTGTGTGGACGCTGTTGCCAGGAGCGACCTGGTTGGACAGGTAGCGTGAAGGTGGCCCTTCCTCGCCCCTCTCCGGCCTGTCCATCCTTGGATGCGCTCACCAAGTTTCTGTTTAGGAGAGAAAGAGAAAAATACAGTAACACTAACAACCAACTAGGCTCTGGTTAGCTGACTGCCGTTTACTGAACGAAGCCGGTTGCCTGAGTTTGCACAGCCCTGGCCACAAAGAAGGGCAGACGCACTTCAGCCTAACCTCTCGCAGTGCGACGTTTGGCACTAATGTTTTCCTTTTTCCTAGCGCTGAAAGTCTCCCGGGGCCCCCCGCCCTTTCCCCCACCAGCACGTCTCCCCAGGTCCTCAGCCAGCACCGTCCGCAGATTCCGGGCAGTGGCGTCCCAGCGT